GAATCAGCTGGGTTGGAAGGGACCTCTGAGATCATCAAGTCCAACCCTTGATCCAACCCCACTGTGGTTCCCAGCCCATGGCACTGATGCCACATCCAGTCTCTCCTTAAAAACCTCCAGGGATGGAGAATCCACCCCTTCCCTGGGCAGCCCATTCCAATGGCTGAGCACCCTCTCTGCAAAGAAATTCTTCCCAATATCCAACCTAAACCTCCCCTGGCACAGCTGATGGTTGCCTGGGAGAAGAGACCAACCCCCCTGGCTCCCCCCTCCTGTCAGGGAATTGCAGAGAGTGAGGAGGTCTCCCCTGAGCCTCCTCTTCTCCAGGCTGAACAGCCCCAGCTCCCTCAGCCTCTCCTCACAGCACTTGTGCTCCAGTCCCTTCCCCAGCCTCGTTGCTCTTCTCTGGACCTGCTCCGGCCCCTCAATGTCCTTCCTGAGCTGAGGGCCCAGAACTGGACACAGCACTCCAGGGGTGGCCTCACCAGCGCTGAGTCCAGGGGCAGAATCACTTCCTTGGACCTGTTGGCCACACTGTTCCTGAGCCAGACCAGGATCCATTGGCCCTCTTGTCCCCTTGGGCACACTCTGGTTCCTGTTCAGCTTCCTGTCCATCCAAACTCCCAGCTCCCTCTCTGCCTGGCTGCTCTCCAGCCACTCTGTGCCCAGCCTGTATTTGTATTATCGTGCCTCAGTTTCCCTGCCAGAAAAGGGAGGAAAGCCAAATGCACTTCCCAAGGAAAAAGAAGGGCATGGTTAATTAAGGCAGCTTTGTGAGCTGCTTTGACAGCTGCAGGGATAAGCAGTCACTATTATAGCAGCCAATAGTTCAGAATTACACTTTGTGTGCCTTTGCTTCTCTTCTTCATGTGGTTGCCAGAGGTAACCGAGCAATTTTAGGTCATTTTATTACTTTTTAATACCCAGCTCGGTGTTGGGTTTCTGCCTTCACGTAGCACACGTGTGTGTTGGTGTCAAAGCCCCTCAGCTCACAAAGAAATGCTGAAAAAAGCCACGACCACTGTTCCAGCAGGGAGAAAAAGCAATGGGAAAAATGCAGCCAGGCCTCTCTGAGCAATGTCTGGTGACCAGTCCACGCCTCAGCTGTGGTAACATGAGATTATTTAATGCTGAGGTTCATTAATTGAAGACATGACTGGGCTTTGCTGTAGTCAGCTCGTGTCACCTGAGCATCCCCAGCACTTGGATTCATCCCTGGATACTCACAGTCTCCCTGGGAAGCCAGTGTTTAGCAGTTCAGCAATGGGGAAGTTGAGGCTCAGAGATGATTTCTGTGTTGGGCTGCTCATTGCTGCAGTCATCATCCATCTCTTTTGTTACAGGAGCAAACGGTGATTATTGATAATTAACAATAACCCAGCTAAAAAGGGACCCATCCCCACCAGTACCCTCAGTCAGGGTGGCATTTCCCTCTGGTTTTGGCCAGCCCTATCCTCCCAGCTGCACTCTGAGCACAGCTTATATAAAATAAACTCCAGTTTTAGGCTCCCACATTCTCCCACTCAGCTTGTGGTGCCAATGACTTGATTTCCACAATAGTTTTCCAACGGACTTTGCGTTGATCACTTTTTTTGGAGGCAAGTGTTTCTTTTGCTGGTGTTTCTTTGGCTGGGACTGTGGGTAGGACAAGGCAGAGGGAGGTGCAGGGCAGATGTGATGCTCTGACAGCAGCACAGCTCATCATTCCTGCCTGGTGAGATTTTAGTCCCGTAAAAATCCCGCTTCCGAGTGGGATTCTTTGAAGGACAAAAGAAAAAAAGGCACAGTGCAGAGCCCTCTGGACTGTGGGGAATTGCTGCTTTCTCTGGGTGAGGAAACCCAAGCCTCATCTCTTCAGCTGGAAGGGCTCCACTCAAGCAGATGAGGCCGGGGATTGTTTTCTCTCCCCTCCTGACGGAAACGGCCCAAGGGCTGGCAGGGCATGAGCAGGAAGAGCACCAGGAAACACAGAGGGCACCCAGCCAGGCCATGACTCTGAGCTGCCCAGCCACTGGCACTTGGCTTTATTTATTTTTTTTTTTTTTTTTTTTTTTTTATTTTTTTTTTTTGCTGGTGAAGGGATTCAATTCCCTCTCGGGAGAATCCCTCGGTTTCCCAGCGGGATTCCTGCAGCTGGGAGAGCGTGTGCTGAGCATCCCAGGGCAGCTGCCTCCTCTGCCTGGGCTTCCCTGTCTGTGTCAGGAGGCACAAACGCTGTGGACGTGGCGTGTGGGCTGGCCAGGGATCATATGTGCCACTTCCCACTCCCACTCATCTCCCTGCTGGATTCCCTCGGGATGGAGCACTGGGAGCTCAGCTCTGCTGAGGTGGCATTTACTCATCCCCAGGGAGTCATTCCAGGTTCCCAGCCCGTTGTGTAACTGAGAGGGCTTTGCCTTTTAGCTGGTGGAAGAGTGGGAGGATTTAAATTTGGGAATTTGGGGTTGGCAGAGGCTTTAGCCCAGTGCTTGTGTTCTGCAGGGAGCTGCACTGAAAGCTGTTATTTTTCTAGGGAAGCAGGATCAGTGAGCTCTGGAACTGCCATCAGGGAGCAGGATAAGGGCATTTTGGACTCCATGGAACTCAGGCATGTTGTACCCTTGAAGGATGGGAAATCAGGTGTTGATCAGGCCCTGAGATGCAAAGGGCCAGGCTGTAGGAAGAAAAATCTTGGGCCAACAAGACCAGGAGTCTGGGAAAAGACACATGGGAGGAGTTAGGATGGAGGACTGGGGTCCTTTTGTCTTCCACTTTCAGCTTATCCAAAATGAATGTGTGGCTGCACCACCCCCAGCAACATCTCAGCCTCATAATTCACCTCCCCAGGGACTTCCTTGGGATACAAAGGCACCATGGATCTGGAAAGGAGGGATAAATGTTCAGTTTTGCTCCCTGTGAGGAAGCTGGAACTCCCTCACAGTCCTGGAGCCGAGTAAGTCCCTGAGATCACCATCCTTGAAATCAAACGCTCGGAACCTCTCACATCAAGTCCACACAGCAAATATAAAGTTCAGATTTCATGCTCTCCCAGCCATAGGCAGTTGTATTCATCCCTTAGCAGATACCAGACCCAAAACGTCTTCCTCCTCCACAAAGTCCAAATATATCGACTCCTTTCCATGTGTTATGATAAAAATGGGGAGTAAATTATACTCTCTCCACCTTCTGGCAGGAAATATGCTGCCAGACTCGCCTCTGCAGATTAAACAATGGCTGCTCCTGCTTTCCTGAAAAGAAAAGCATCCCCAGAAATCCCAGCTCTCTCCTTTTTTTTTTTTTTAATATATATATATATATATATATTTTTTAGCTGGTTTTTTGTGTCCAGCTATCAGAAGCACAGAGAAAACCAAGTGGAAAAATTGAATCTGGCAAGTAAGAGCACGATGCATGAAGGCACACGACTCCCAAACCCAGAGAACAAAAATAGCTGTGAGAGAGAGAGAGAGAGAGAAAGAGAGAGACAGACAGGAAGAAAAAAAAAAATAAAAAATTGCCTGAAAGAAGCTCTTTAATTATTCCTTTTCTCTCCAAAGCTTTGCCCCCCCCAGGCACAGCCAGGCTGCCATTTGTGTGGGGCAGCCATATGGGAGGCAGGAAGGCTGGAGAGAGCAGCATTATTTGGGAGAGAGAGAGAGAGAGAGAGGCTTCTTTTTTTGGCTGGCTTTTCAAAGAGCTGGTAGCAGATCGATCGTGGCCAGAGCCCCGGGCACGAGGCAGGCTCTGCTCCCGTTGGGAGGCACCAGGATTTCATTTCCAGGCTGGATGATGGGGGGCTGAGGGGGGGGGGGGGGGGTTGGATTCTGGAGGCTGCTCCCAGGGAAGAGGGTGGGATAAGTGTTGGAGTGTTTTTTTCAATTCCTGGGCTGTCACTGAAGACAGCAGGAGCCCCAGGGGCACAGTTTTGCTGTTCCCTTTGCTCTGGGGGTGTCCTGTCCTTTTGCTGGGAGCAGGATGGATTCTCTCCCCTGTCATTCTTGTTCAGGGTTGGATTTTATTTTTTTTAAAGCCCGAGTGTGACATTTCAGGAACCAACCTTTTAAAATTGCAAGCCCACCAAGTTCAGGAGCTCCTTGCAGGTGAGATTTGGGATTGAATGCCCTGGGTGAGGTTTGACCACATTTCCAGGTGTGTGGTTGCAGGAACAACCGTCCTGGTTGTGGAGCAGCTCTGCCAGGGAACACTCCCAGGTTTGCAGTGCCTCCAAAAAGTCATTCCACAGCACATGCCTGAGTCTGGGAATGCCTCTTGCAAATGCCTGATGTCATGTTAATATTTCACTCGGTGGGGGAGGCCTGGTGACCTCTGCAGCTGGATTCTGATGGCCTCTGACTGTCACATCTGTCCAGTGACGTGGAGAGAGAACTGTCCCAGCAATCGTGGAGCAGATTCCTCCGTATCCAAGGAAAGCCCCACGTGTGTGAAAGAGTCTTGTGGTGTTTGTTGGGTGACTAAAGGGCCAAGATGTGTCTCTGCTCTGCTGGAGTGATGGTTCCTGAGGTCCAAAGGGCATAATCTGCCACTTGGCTGCACTTCAGGCACAGTTACAGACTGGAAATGGGGGTTGGTGGTGCTGGGACAAGGAATTTGTGCCTGGTGGGAATGGATGGTGAGGTGGAACAGTGGTGGTTTCTGTGTTAATTAGCATTGCTACCAATTAAGCAGCACTGCCTGCAGAGTCAGAACACTGAATGACTTTGCTGGGGGTGGCTGCCACAGCCCACCTGAATTTCTCCACGGCACTGGCAGGAGATAAAATAATCCCCATCTCTTTCCCCAGCCCTGTGGAATTCATTCCTGAGGAGGTGTGATCCTCCTTCTCCTGAGGAATTCAGTCCTGAGTGTGTGCAGCAGCAGGAAACTCCAAAGTGGGGACAGCAATCCCTCCTCCCGTCCCCTCCAGCACTCCCAGCTCAGCCTCTCTGATCCTGACTCACCTGTTTCCCAATCACCACAAGCCATCAGTTAATTAATTATCCCTTTTTGCTGTTTGATTGCAGGGCAACCATCGATGAGGTGGAGACAGATGTGGTGGAGATCGAGGCAAAGCTTGACAAGGTGAGGTGGGGCAGCTCAGGGCAGTGTCTGAGGAGGGGCTGAGGAGTCCCTGAGCCTCCTCTAAAACCTGAGCCCATCTCCAGCTGCCAGGGAACTAATGTTGAACCCACTGGGCTTGTCACCAGGACCAGGTCTCCCTCTGCTGACAGGTACCTGGCAGGGCCTCTCTGTGACTGCCAGAGGGATGGGAGGAGGAGCAGAAGGCTCCTGCTGGGGAATGTGGGGCTTCTTGTTCCGCTCCTGGATCCCCAGGGGACTGACACTGCTGTGGCAAGTTCTGTCAGTGCTGTCTGCTCCCCTCTCCACCTTCTTACCTGTGATATTAGTGGGGCAGGAGGTGTTTGGTGCCCTCACAGCACTGTGCCAGCTCAGGGGGGTGAGGAGACATTGCAGGTCACCAAGGGGCACCTTCAGACCACAGCTGGAATCTGATGCTGCAAATCCCCTCTCGGGGACCAGTTTGGCCATTTTGCACTGGTGCTGGAGATTCTTTACATCCAGCTGGTAGTTTGGATCTCAGGTTGTGGTGGGAGGTGGCTTTTCCACCCCCACTCCTCCTGCTGCCAGAGACATCAGACATTTGCTTCTAAAGGAGAACAGAGAGAAATGACGAAGACGAGCCAGAAGAGCTGTTTGCTTTTTATCTGTGAGATCCCCTCCCAGAGCTCACAAGGGATAAAACTCCTGCATCTGATGGAGAAATGGGCTTTGTCGAAGCCACAAGCCCTAGGCAAAGCTGTGTCCTACAAAACCTATTTACTGATCAAGCTGCTTGAAATGGTTGTGTGCACGAGCTGCCTGGTGTCACTGGGGGAGAGCTGCACAGGGGTTTGATTTGTCTGTTCCCCTCCAAGCTGAGGCCCTAAAGAAAAAGGTGCAAACTACTCTGGTTCTGGCCCTGCTGCTGCCAGGTAAATGACTTGGTGTGCCAGGAACAGCCCTGGAGGGAGGAGGATGAGGGTGGAAGTGCAAGAGCTCGGTCACTGTCAGCAATGGGTTTATCAGGCTTGGCCCCAGGGCAGGGAAGGCTGGAGTTTGCATCTCAAAAGCCACTGGACTTTAAACTAGATCTCTGAGGGTAACTTTAAACCAGATTCAATCACCCCCTTTCCCAACAAATCACCCTTGGATGGCCCAGCTCCTCTCCTCTGCCCAGGGCAGCCTTTCCAGGGCTTGGTGGGCACCTTGGTCAGTGGTACCCAAACAGTTGGCAGGGCTGGTTCTTGCAGAGCAGCAAACTGCCAAGGCCTGACTGTTCCTCTGCCTTTTGCTGTGCCCCTGAGCGCTTAGTTTATAAATTATTAGCCTTTTAACACCTGTTTAAGTGGAGGTGAAAGGCAGTGTAAATGATTCACCCAGAGATATGGGCTCAGCGGCTGTCGCAGAGAGATTCCCTGAATTTTATGCCATGCTTCATGTCCACTGCTCCCCTTGGGGCTGGGATTGTGCTGCCTTGGCCCTCAGCTCCTGGTGACACAGCCTTGGCTGGAGGTGTTTGCTCAGAGGTCAGGCTGGAAACAGCCACGTTGCAGGAGGGGCTGGATTTCCTTTCCTCGGGATGCGTCCAAACCCCCCGTGCACGTCTGGGCTCCAGATGGGACAGGAACTGCATCCACACTCCAGCCACATTCCAGGCAGGATGCTGAGCACGTATTTCTTTTGGTGGCTGTGCTGTGGAGGCAGCATTTTGCTCCAGGGGGGCTGTCCCTTCCCTCTCCTGTGCTGTACTCAGCTTTTCCAACAGTGAGCCGGTGTCTGATCCTCAGCTGGGCATTAGATATTTAAGGGATAAAGATTCCCAGTCTCAGGTATTCTAGACCCAAAATTTCAGTTCGTGCAGGAGGAAAATAATTGGTGAGAAATGACTGTGACTCCTCCCTGTGTTCCAAAAGAAAAAGGCCCCATCATTCCCTGGTGCCTCTGGGAGGTGTCAGTTGGGTGCAAATTTAAAAGCATCAGCTCTTCCCTCCAGTCCCTCTGAAAGCACAGGGTTTTACTTCTTTTTTTTTTAACCAAGTTTACCAAGAGCAGGGCAGAGGTGCAAGGGTCTCAGAGGTATTTAACTTCTCCAAGGATCTCTGGGCTCAGTGAATCCAAGGATTTCCTTTCCATGGGATCTGTCCAAACCCCTGGTGCACGTCTGGGCTCCAGATGGGACAGGAACTGCATCTGTTTGCTTTCCTTCTCTTTGGGTTTGGATGGGATGTGCAAATCTGCTCACAGCTAAAGTGCAGGGGCAGGAGAGGGTGTGAGAGTGAGGGCTGAAAATGTCATGTATGCACAGATACACCACAGGTGGCTGCAGATATATCTGTACATTGATATACTCAGCTGTATTTTTACAGAACTGCCGAGGCAATTCTGCAATTCCACATCTAGAACAGACCCCAGAGCCCTGGGGCTGCATAAATAGAACAAGCCCAAAGCCCCAAAACAGCACACAGGGCTTTGGCATCAAACCAGGCTTGAGAGCTCCTCATTCCCAGCCTGTACCTGAGGCTGGTTGACAGGCAAAGATTCCTAAAGCCATACTTTCATTTAGTAAAATTATTATCCCTGAAAAGCTGCTGGATTTTGAGACTGGAAAACTTGCTTTCCAAGTGTTGCTCTTCATCACTTTTTTACTCAGTTTAGAAGCCCAGAATGGTGATGAGGTAAAACAAGCAAAAATCGAGCAAACAAAAAAGATTTCAAGGTTTTTGCTCAGTGGCCCAGCCCTTACTGCTGCAAATCTCTTGGGCCTTTGGTTTATGGATTTATCTTAAGTTGTTTAATGTAGCCTCTTACAAGGAGCTTTGGCTGACAGGAGATAGGCTAATGGCCAGGAATTCTGGCTAAAACTAAAGCTTAGAACCAGTTCCAGGCGTGCTAAGGCACTTTGCTGTGGCTTGGGAAGTCTGGGAATGTTCCCTGCAGCTGTTAAACTATCAGAAGTTAAGAAAGGCTGTCTGGAGACCTGTCCTTGTGCTGCAGCAAATTCCAAAGTGGGAAGACACCCTGTTTTGCTGCCAGTTCCAGGTAACTTCTCTGGTAACATCACTATGACAAGGCTCTTTCCAGAGTCCACCAGAAAGTCTGGACCAAGTCACAATTGGTCCAGAGTTATAATCCCTGTAATCCCTCCCAGGGCACCAGCAAAGCTTTCCAGGGCTGCAGAATTGTGGGAATAATTCAGATGCCCACAGCCTTGATGGTTTAACCTGCATGTGAGGGAACACAGACTTTCCCTGGCTGCTCAGCTGCTGAATTTTGGCTTCCCCTCATTCCAGGGGAAGAACAAGTCTCCACCAGTACACACCAGCACCCAGAACAGTCAGCTGGGCTCTGAGGCTCAGCAATCCCAAAGAACAGCATTCTCCCTGCATTTTACACAGTTTATCACATTCACTGAGCACTGAGGAGTCAGTCCTTGATCCTGCCCGACCAGCCTGTGGGATCAGGTTCCTTTCACTGCACTCCTGATGCCTCAGGATAGAATGAGCAGGAGAAACCCACTGGAAAAAACAAGCTGTCCTCAGGAGAGAGCCTGGAACTGCTGTCCCTAAGTGACAGGGGGGATGTGGGCAGCACGAGGGGGGATTTGCAGCCCTGTTTGAGCCACGGGCAGTGAGGGGTTGTCAGTGCAGGAACGTGAGGGTTCTGGGCTTGTGTGCTGGGTCCTTAAACCCGAGCTGGTTGTAATTCCATGTGGTGGAATGTCCCTGTGCAGCTGGTGAAGCTCTGCAGTGGGATGATTGAAGCAGGCAAAGTCTACATCACCACCAACAAGCACTTTGTCAGCGGCGTCCGGGACCTGTCGCAGCAGTGCAAGAAGGATGAGATGATTTCGGTAAGTCATCCCCCCCCTGGGATGGAGCATCCCACCCCTGGGATGGAGCATGGCACACAGGGAGGGCTGGGGAGTGTCCAGCTTCCTGCTGCTGTGAATGGATCACACCTCCAAGACCCCTCTGCTGTTTAAGCAGCCGTTCAGGACGAGGTTTTATTTTTGGTGGGGTGTGGAGACTGTCTGATAAGGCAAAGCTGAAAGGTCAGAGTGAGGTTCCTCGTTTGCAGGCAGATCTGGACTTTTAAGAAGCACAGTGCTGGCAAGGTTGTTGGAATCTAGGTCAGTGAGCATCAGTGGTGCAGGAAACGTGGGGAACCAGCCCAGCAAGACACAACAGACATGTTGATTCCAGCACTGAACTGCAAAGGACAGGCAGCCTATGGCTCCAGCATCGTGAAATGCCTCCTTGCCAAACTCAGAGTGGCTCTTCAGAGGCTTCATGAGAGTCCCCCCTCAGCCCCTGCACCCCTGGGAGTGAAGAGCAGCTACTCCTGTTCACTGCCAGTTCTCCTCACCTTTATTTTTTTTCTTTGCAGGAGTGCCTCGACAAATTCGGAGACAGCCTGCAGGAAATGATCAACTACCACATGGTAAGGTGCTGCTTCCTCTTGTCCCTTTGGGTGCTCCTGTCACCCTCTTCCTCAAGGGTGAGGTCTGACTGATGGTCTCCTGTGTTTGGTTTGTGTGACACTGCACAAAGAAGGGTGAGGTTAGAAACCCTTTCCTCAGAGGGAGAACTCACAAAGGTCCCACTCCAGATGTTTTGTTCTTTTTGGATGGCAGAGGATTCTGCAGTGAGGACACACCAGGCCCTGGCTGTGAACAGCCTGCATGTTTAACCTTGTTACTTCAGGTTTGGAACAGACCCTGAAGCCTGGGGCTCAAATCTGTGGCACTGGGACACGGGTGAGGCTGTGAATGGGTCAGTCCACGAGCACTGCACTGTCCTGGGAGCAGCATCAGCTCTGTGCTGCTCTGGGGGGAAGGATTTTAACACACATTAATGCTCCACTGAGCCCAAAGGAGGGCAGTGCCCAGATGTGGCTCTCCTGAGCCAGCTGAATCCCACTAACAGAGCCCAAGGAGTTAAATTCTGCCCTTCCTCCATCCCAGACATCCAAAGAGGAAGGTGCCCAGTGAGTGGCTCCCTGCCAAACCTGCAATTTGAAGTCTCTAAGTCTGTAAGAGCTCCAAGCACAAGTGCTTTAAAGTGAAGAAGCTTCAGGGTGTCAGCACTGGACTGACCCACTTTCCTCCACGGTGCCCCTGTCAGAGCACATTAAGCACAGTTCTTGCTTTTGGGCTGCAAGATAACCACGTGCAGCTGGGGGAGAAGCTGCAGCAAGTCCATTTAATTATTTCATGAAGCAGGTGGAAGGGCTGCTTCCTAGTAAAAAATGACAGGGAAAAGGTAATGCACGTGCAGATCTCCTGGGACTGTGAATATTTGGGAGCAAACAGCTGTGCAGCAGTGCTGTTGGTGAGGAGAGAGGGAACAAATCAGTGGGAGCATCAGAGGGAAGCTGTGCTTGTGTCAAAGCAGAGACAGTGAAACCCTGATTCTCTGATGCTGCTCGAAGTTGGTGTTAAAACCTTTGTGCCAAGGAGCATCTGAGAAGCTCCCCCCTTGATTCCAGGGATCACAACATGAGGAGTTAAATTCTGCTCTTCCTCCATCCCAAACATCCAAAACCTCCCAGAAGAGGAAGGTCCCCAATGGGTGGCTCCCTGCCAAACCTGCAATTTGAAGTCTGTAAGTCTCACACATCCCAGGTGGATAAGTAGTGCAGCCCCACAGCTGGGTGAGTGGTGCAGCCCAGCCCTGAGGGAGCAGTCCCAGCCAGAAAGCTCGGGATGCAGAGCTGTGTCTGCAGGCTCTGCTGCACCAGCTGTGCAGCTTCCCCTGGCCCCCTGCTCCTTGCAGGGACTGTTCTTCCCTCAGCCAGCCCAGCAGCAGAAGGACCCTTCCCAGAGCTGTCAGATGTGGGATCACTCTTCCCTGCTGTCAGATGTGGGATCACCCTTCCCCAGGTGACTCAGGGGCTCTCCAAACCAGCATTTCCCTACCCCCAGCTCCATGCCCAGGGAATTGTGCTTAAACCTTCCCTCCCTCCAGCCTTGGGAGAGCATCCTCCTCCCCTGGTGTGCAGCAGAGTGAGTGACTGTCCAGGAAATGGCTTTGGAATGACTGCTGCATCCTCAGCCCTTTCCGACAGGGGTTCAATTAGCTGGGTTATTTTTAGTGCCTTGTGCTCTGTGTGTGTGTGTGTGTGTCTGTGTGTCTTGGCTCATCCACGTCTGAGGATCTCAGCTCGGAAACAGTTGTCAGTGCTTACTCCAGGAATGTGGCCAGGACAGTCTGTACAACTGGAACAAGTTAAAAAGAAGGGAAAGTATCCTCCCCCCCCCCCCAAAGAAAATCAGTTGTTCTCTACTTTTATTGCCATAGCACGAGGCCTGGACTCGTCCTGATTCAGGCTCAGCAAAATCCAAGCTTAAAACTGCTTTGGGTGTGGAAGATGAACACAGTGAGCTCTGGACAATTCCCACCTTTTAATGCACAGGGAGGAGTAACCGTCAAAGCAACCTTAGGGGACAGATGACAAGAGTTGATTTAGAGCTGGAGCGGGTGTCCTCTGCCTTTTTGTGTCCTCTCAGCCACGTGCCTTCTTTCCATTTTTAACTTTTACCAGTGCCCTGGTCATCCCTCCCTCGTGCTGGCTCCAGGGATTGCACCAGCCAGGATTGCACAATCCTGCACCAGCTGGATTTTGGGCCAGTTAAAGCCATCTCCAAAGCAAACCAAACCAACCCAGTGAACTCCTGCCTGCAGTGCTGGCTGAGAAGGTCCTAGAAGTTGTGCTCCAGGACTTCCTGAGCTGCCCTCTAGAAGTGGCTGCATCTCCCTGTGAGGGATTTCAGAAGTTTGGGCTCCTGGTTGTGTTAAACCATTCCCTGTTTTCCTGGGAATGGCTTTACAGGGGAGACAGGGAGGGCTCAGACAGGCTGAGGTGGGTGGTGATGATGAGTAAGAGCTCAAGGAATGGATTTCCCCAGCTGGTTGGGTGGGATTTGACTGGTTGTGGGCTGGGGAATGGCACTGCCCTGGAGCCCCTGAGGATGTGCTGCTGTAACATCCCAGCTCTGCAGCTGGGAGGCTGATTTTCCTTGCTGCTCCAGGGGAAAATGGCCTTGGAAGGTCTTGGACAATTGACTTCCAAGGATGTTCTTTTCAGAGCAGTGTCTGGGAAAAAAGAGTTTCCTGCTGATCCAATGCTGACCTCTTGAGGCCTCCCTGCACTGCAGATGTTGGGAGCAGAAAAGCCAAAGGTCCTGCTGGCTGCCCTGTCACCCCCAGTGACATTCCAGGCCCTGTCACCTCCAGCCACATTCCAGGCAGGATGCTGAGCACGTATTTCTTTTGGTGGCTGTACTATGGAGGCAGCATTTTGCTCCAGGGGGGCTGTCCCTTCCCTCTCCTGTGCTGTACTCAGCTTTTCCAACAGTGAGCCGGTGTCTGATCCTCAGCTGGGCATTAGATATTTAAGGGATAAGGATTCCCAGTCTCAGGCATTCTAGACCCAAAATTTCAGTTCATGCAGGAGAAAAATACCTGGTGAGAAACTACTGTGACTCCTCCCTGTATTCCAAAAGAAAAAGGCCCCATCATTCCCTGGTGCCTCTGGGAGGTGTCAGTTGGGCTGCAAATTTAAAAGCACCAGCTCTTCCCTCCAGTGCCTGTAAAAGCACAGAGGTTTACTTCTTTTTTAACCAGAGCAGGGCAGAGGTGCAGGGTCTCAGAGGTATTTAACTTCTCCAAGGATCTCTGGACTCAGTGAATCCGAGGTGCTTGGACACCTTTGCAGTGGCAGTTTGCACATCCCACCCCTGAGTGAAAATAGAGCCTTGCTCCTGAAAAACTCCTCATGCCTGAGACCCTGAATGAGGGAAGGGTCTTCTGCAAACACCTCAATATCCCAGACTACTTCCCTGCAGCAAATGTGGAATGAGCACACTGGGATTGGGGCTTGCCAAGCTCTCCTGAGCTGGAAACACTTCTTGCTTGTCTGCAGACAGATGCTGTCAGCTCCAAAATCTGTGTGTTGTTTGCCTCCTTCCTGCTTTCCTTCCTCCTTATCAGTCCTCTTGAAACACAAACCAGATTGAAAGGCATGGGAATGTGCCAGACCACTATAAGGCAGAAAAAACCCCTTTCCCTCTTTTCCCAGAACCTGATGAATGTTGGTGCATGGGTGTAACAAAGTTTCCCCACAGGTAAAGGAGATAAAGTTGCAAAAAATTCTAGAGTGATATCTAATAATTATGAATATCTAATATTGGATTTCCCCTGTGATAGAAAGCAACAGTGATTGTAGGTCCAGCAGTGCAGAAGCTCCCTTTTTTTTCCCACCTCATTGCCAAAGGGGGTGGAAAGTTTAAGGTAAACCCTAGACTTGAAGTGAACTTGGTTCCCCCAAAGTTCTGGTTAGGTCAGGGTTCCCTGCTCTGATTTTAGGGGCAGTTCTTCCCAGTGCAGTGATGTTCCCAGTCAGCACCTGGGAGGGCAGGAGCTGATCTTTCCATAGGGTTTTTAAGCAAACACAATGGGCTCTGTGCCAGCCCCGTGGCACTGACGTTGTCCAGATTAAGAGACAGTCCAAAGCTGTCAGCATCCACTTCCCAGGAACTAGGGAAGGGAAGGCTCCAGTTTATCCAAGGACCAGAGGCAGTGAATGTGGGGCTGCAATAATCCCTGGGAAGGCAGTTTTCACACCAGCCCTGCACATGCCTTGGAAGGAAATCCCGGGATCTGCAGCACCAGCCTGTCACATTCACACATCAGCTCTCTTTCCCTTGCTGTTCCTTTCTCTGTGTGCTCAGAAAAAGAAGAAAAGGGGAAAGGATGCCAGTGAAAGTGCTGCTGGGGTGGGATTCAGTCCCCCTTCAGCAGCACCAGGTACTTTCCACCCCAGAAGATGTGACACGAGCATTGTCCTCCCCAGTGCTGTGCTGAGCTTCATTAAGTCCTGAGCCTTCCCCTCTGCCATAAATCACTGTGGCTGCGTCACCGGGATCCTCCAGCAGGAGCAGGAGCAGCTTGCAGGGGAGGTTTAGCTCTGCTGAGCAGAGCTGGGAAGCGTTTCCTGCTGACAAGAAGAAAAGCCACCCAAGCCGTGATGAGTCAGAGGGAGGCAGATGGCAGATGTCCCTGGGTCCTGCTGCAGTTCAGGGGGGAAGGAGAAGGAAGGGAAAGTGGGAAGTGCTTCCAAGCTGCCCGTTCTCCACAGGGCTGGGAGGACCACCTGCATTTCCTGACAGTGCTTGGGAAGGGTCCAGGGGCACCAAGGGAGGGGAAGCATTTGTGGAGGCAGAGCTGCCATTTGACAGGGGGGATGCTTCTGTCACCCCCTGCCTTCCCAGGTTCTGCCACTGTGCCCCTGCTGCAGTGACTTTACCCTGGTCCAAAAAATGTCAGTGAGCTGCTGCCCTTGGAGTTTGGTGCCAGTGTGTGCAGTCAAGCCCAGCTCAGTGCTGAACTCTTTCAGAAAGGTTCAGTTTGTGGTGGTTTCTAGAATTTCTCGGGTTGTCTGCTTTCTAATTAGGGGAAAGAATCAGCTGCACAAACTGGAGCTCTTGAACCTTTTGTGAGAGACTCAACTTCACCTTGGGTCAGAAGTTAGACTGTGCAGACACCCAGCATGGAGAATACAAGTGATGTTTGGGCTTGTTTTCCAGATAAAAGGGTCAGGCTCCCATTCCCAGGCCACCAGGCAGCCAGCTCTCATTGAAATGCAGCATAAACCAGATCCCAGACAGTTTTGGGGGGAATGAGGTCTCCAGACTGGCCATGAGGGAGATCAGAGCTGGGATGTGACTCATGGCCACCGTGGGGAGGGGAGGGGAGAGCCTCCCTCATCCATGTGTCCCACAGCTGCAGAGGAAGCTCCACACCCTCCCTCTCCTCAGCTGGGGCAGGAGAAGGGCTGATTCCCTTCATGATCCCAATCTCATCCCAGACTGGGGCTCTCAGGGCACCAACAGGCTGTGATGGCCCTGCCCAGCTTTACCTGGGGCTGCCCCCACACCCCCCTCACCCACCCACACCTCACCCACCCACACCTCATCCACACCTATTTAAGCTCCAAGGACTGATTTTTCCAGCTTGGTGCTGGCTCTGCCTTGTCATGTTGGATCTGCTTGGAGCTCCCTGACCCTGATCCATGGAGCAGCTTTTCCCAGCTTGGGTTCAGACCTGTGCCATCCCCCCAGCTTGAGAGTCCTGTGATCCTGGGCTGGTGAGACCCCTGCCCTCCCTGTTATCCCTCAGCTCCTGCTCCTGTGGCCTCTGCTACTCCCTGAGAAATTCCCACCACAAAAGGGGGTTTGTTGCCTCTCCTCAGGCCCCGTTCCCACGTGCAGCTGGGATGTCCTATTTCTGAGCTCTATTCCAGTCAGTGCTGAGGGAAGCAGTTCACAGCCAGGCAATCCCACTTCTTTTAGGCTTCTACTTTGCTTTGGAGCCTGCTGGGATCTCCCCTCCTCCTGCAGGCTCCACAGGGAGCTGTAGGAATGGCATCCCTTTGGATCTCTGATGTCTTCCCTCCTGATTATAGCCTTCAACTCCAAAAATAACACACTGGGCTGCTGGGCTTGCTTTTGTTTCTGGGGCGCCTGAAATTCCTAAAGCACAGGTTTGGGTTTATCCTGTTGCCTCAGAAACCTGTGGTGGGAAAGTGAAATGTAGGATTTCTCTGCTGCTGGGTGAGAGGGATGTTCATTCCCTGTTCCACACACTGACCCTCCTCACAGATGTGTGTGAGTCATGGGCTGGACCTCTCCTGCCTTGGTGCAAGCAAAGGCAGAGAGGGTGGGGTGATGTTTGGTCTGGAAAATCTTAAAACAAATGATTAGTTCCAAGTATGTCTGGGAAAGGAGAAAAAGCCAAGGGTTCATTTTTTTTTTTTTACATAAATTTGAAACTCCAGCTCTTAAAACTCTCTTTATTCTGTGCTGAGAATTGAATGGAGGACCCGCTTGAAAACATTCCCCTGGTGATGATCCTGCCTGGCAAAATTAGTGCTGGAGCAATCAAAGTAATAGAGATATCAGGATGCTTCTCAGCAGAGATGCTGCTGGCAGGAAAGGCACGTTCATTACCTGGGATTCTCTCAGGAACCACTTGGCAATCCCTGCTCCAGGCTCTCACTGGATGAATCCCATCACAGGGACATGGGGCTCAGGAGCAGGGGAGAGGAGTATTGACAGAGCAGGAGATGGATATATAAATAAATATATACCTATATGTATATAAAAATGTATAATAATATATATTATATATTTATATATATATTTTATATATATATATATGGTCTGGCTTCCTTTTCTGTGCAGTTTTCCTGCCCTGATACCGAGATATTTAAATTAAAAATCCCCACAGCAATGTCCCTGTGCCTTGGCAGTGCTGCTTATGTGATCACCATGAGTTCAGCTCCCTCTCAGTCAAACAGCTTCAGGAAGGAGCAGCTTTATGAGCTCTGATTCTGAACCCTCAGTGAATTCTCCTTCCCAGGCAGCGGGAGAACAAGCCCTTGCTGTGGCAGGAGGAGAGCATTGCACACAGACCTGGAGCATCCTGCTGGGGTCGTTGGAGGGAAGTTCTGTCCTCCTGCAAATGCTTTGCTGTGCTGTTCCAAGCGTGTGTCCTTTCCAGGCACCAGCTTGGAGCTCGTTTTTCCAGGCAGGAATGGCAAGGTGGGCGTGGCACTACCCAGTGTGGCATCAATAAGAGAGAACAGCCTGGGTTTCTGTGACTTCAGTCACGCTGGTGCTGCCACTGCAGAGTTTGTGTAGCCTGGATTTGCTGTTTCTCAAGCTGAGGAAAGCCCTGTTCCTTCCCCTTAGCTGTGTGGTTTGACTTTTATTCCCTGGAATATCCCAGGGCACTCGTCTGCAGTCCCATCATCGTGTCCCTTCCTTTCCCTGATCCAAAGCAAATGTGTCACCCTGGCAGAAACCGGTGCTGGAAGCTCTCCAGGTGGAGGTGCAGGTGGGAACCAGATGGTTTCTTGCTGCTTTGCCATCCTGAGTGGGGGGGAAGCACTCCCAATGCCCAAAATCACTCAGGGAAGCAGCTCCGTGTTGGAAAAGCTGCAGGTCAGGCCAGTGCCTCTTGGAGTGCTGCTGGAGGGAGTGAGAGGATGCCAAGAGCAGTAAATAATTTACGTGGGTAAAAGAACACAAAGCTGGGTGGTCTTGAGGGTTTTCTTTCTTTCTTTCCCCTCTTGCTTTGCATCTGTTCATATTTAGAGGCTGTTTATGCTCAGCCAGTCCTGGCACGTTCTGCCAAGATCTCTGTGTGAGGACAGAGAACTGCTCAGGCCGGGGGTCGTGGTTTTAGTTTTGGTTGTGTATGTCACTATCTTATTTTTATTTGGCAATCATTTTAATCGATCTTTCCCCCAGCCAAGTCTGTTTGGCCTGTGATGGCAGCTGGTGGGTGATCTCCCTGTACTTGTCTCGCCCTGTGAGCTTTTCCATCTTATTTTCTCCCCTACCTGGATGAGGAGGGGGAGTGAGGGCGTAGGGTGACAGGCATGGGATAATTTATCTTGTAAAGGAGAGTAAAATTTAAAAGGTTTTTAAGAACTGAGCCTCTCTTTTTGCCGTGTGCTTGGACCTCTCCCCAGCGTGTGGCTGTTGGGATGTTCCTGGTTGTTCTGTCCTTCCCTGGATGTAGAGTTGAGGTACCAGTGCCCTCCTCTGGCAAAATGAGGAATTCGAGGCTCAGGATTGTTCCAAACAGGGTTATAAAGGCAACTGCTCATATAAACTCCTCTTATGGAAGAGCATCATCTCTTCTCATGGAAGTATGTTGGGGGCACGGGTCTCTCTGTGAGATTCCCACCCCTGGCACAGCCTATGGAATTCTGCAAGGGTAAGGGAGTGCTGCAGCTGTGGAAAAAGATGTTATTCATAGTGACAGGCTGCAAGAAATGGACACCTCCAAGCCCTGGAGTGATGCTGAGTCCCTCACACTGAAGCTCCTCAAGAGTGGTTATGAACTTTCTGTCTCCTCAAATGTTTCTGTGTTGCAAAACATTCAAATTTCTTTCCCCTCCTCTCTTTCAGATCCTGTTTGACCAGGCTCAGAGGTCAGTCCGGCAGCAGCTGCACAACTTTGTGAAAGAGTGAGTACTTCTCTTGTCTGTTTAGTCTTCAGCTTCTTCAACTTCCATTGCACGTGTCCTGTGTGTTCTGGGAACAGAACCACCACCTCTGCCCAGCAGCTGAATTTGGAGCAGGATGACACTGGAGGCAGAGGGAAGGGTCTGGTTTGTGTGATTTTGGTTCACTGTCACTTGGTTGCTCTGTTGGCAACCAGATTTCTCCATCCTGTTCCCAGCTCTGGAGTTAAAGCTGGGCACAAGGCAAACCTCCTGATGAGGGCATCATCCCCAAGTCCATCTGAGAGCTGATCCTCTGGGTCAAATCCATCCCAGAGCTCAGATCCCTGCCAGCTCTGCATCTTTTGTTATCTCAGACTCGATGCAGTGGTTTGAACCAGTGCAGAAGGAAGGGATTGGGCCCCTCAGTTCAGGAAGGACATTGAGGGGCTGGAGCAGGTCCAGAGAAGAGCAACGAGGCTGGGGAAGGGACTGGAGCACAAGTGCTGTGAGGAGAGGCTGAGGGAGCTGGGGCTGTTCAGCCTGGAGAAGAGGAGGCTCAGGGGAGACCTCCTCACTCTCTGCAACTCCCTGACAGGAGGGGGGAGCCAGGGGGGGGGTTGGTCTCTTT